CCCTGTAATGGCTCAGGCCTGCTTCTGGGACACTTGAGAAAACAGATCTGTGGTTCCCAAGTCCAAAAGTTTCATAATAAATCCCAGCCCCGTTTAAGTGGGATGACCTTCATGTCCAGCCTAAAGAGCTGAGCAAACCTGCACTTCAGCTATGAAAATAGCCCAGCCCTCCATCTCCCTTCCAGCCCGGAAAGGCGATGCCTACATTTAAGTCCAAACATACTGTAAATGATCGAGTCATCCTCTCTCTGGTGAAGAAAGAAAGAGCCCTGGACAAGGCAAATGTGGATGGGTCAGCTATTAGGCCATTGCTGATGGCCCTGCACCCAGGTTTCTGTGGCTGGGACAGACAAAGAACCCCAATATTCACATACTGCTCTGTATCTGGGGTATAGCAGAACTGATGTCTACCTGAGTGTGGTTGGTAGGGTAATAAATAATATGGGTGTCATCATTTATAGTTTTAACTTGAACTTTTCACCTAAAATGTCATACAGTGTGCTTGAGTGTGATATTGTTGTGATACAGAATTACATGTTAACGATTTTGTAATGAAAGATTTTGTAATAAAAAAGGGGTGTTATTTGTGCCGGATGCTGTATTTCCACGTTGGTAAGCCCTGTCATTTGAAAAGCCCCAGGAGTCATTTCTCCACTGCCCTTTACACAGAGTAGAACTGAAACTCACAGACTCAAAAATCTTTGGAGAAAGATCATATTTCAAACAAGACTCCCATGAAGAAATCTTCATCTGTTTAAAGCCCATGTTTTATTGTAAATTTCAGGGCACATGCACATACTCGTGCCCTGAAAATAACAGATTTATTCCCCTGCGGGAGGGGGCAGGAGCCCCTGGTCAAATAGTAAAAGACAGGAGCTCAAGTCTTTTAACCTCTGTGCTGGGCCAGCAGGCTGCTCAGCGGCAGCCGGGCCAGGCCGTGTGGCTCTCTGCCTGCGCCACAGGGGCAGGGAGGGGCAAGGGCGGAAGCCTGGAGCTCCACGACCTTTTGGAAAAGAAAAACTTGAGACTCCTGTGAGGGCATCTGATGCTTTTAAATGTGGACTGAGGTGAAAAACTGAGGGCAACGTCAAGATTTCCGAAAGTGGCCGGGGAGTGGAGGGTGCGAAGTCAGGCTCCTAACACTGTAACCACACCAAGATGTTTTTTTTTCTTTTTCTGGTATGCAATTACAATTACAATAGCCTCTAAAGGCAATGTGAAAAGTTTCAAAGCAAGTGTCTCAAGCGGGACATTTGGGTTTGTCATCTTGCGCAGCAGCGGGGTGGCTCTGATGGCGGCCGGAGGGGAGGCAGGCCACTGGGATGAAGTTAAAGGGCGTGTGTGGACGGAGCTCTACAGCCTCAACCCTGGTGAAGTCCTGAGAATGGCTCCTGTTAAGGAACCTCTTCCCTCGCCAGCACAAGTGGACTCTGCAAAGCCACTCTGGAAGTGGCTCTGGACATGGCCTGGCTGCCATGGAGGGTGAGTTAAAGTTGCCAGGTTTCTGGAAGAGCGTACACCCTTGGCCGGCGCAGTGTCTGGTGCTGCCTGGCTACTCACACTTTCTTAAGGCTTTCTGATTCCGGAGGCTTAGTTGGACTGGGGAAGCGGGGGCTTCCCTCCACCCTCCATCACGAAGACCTCAGCACTGGATTAATCAGCCCAGTGACTCATCTACCTGCAGGCTGTGCGTGTCAAGAGAGAATGCCACTCGGGAGAATGGGGACGGGGCACTTCGTGGGGGCAGCACAAGGACACCAGTACGCAGAGGGGAGGATGGCGCCTGAGTCACTTGCTGCTAGGGGGCTGTGGTGTTGCCATTCTAGGACAGCTATGAAGGCAGAGCCATGATCCTAATAGCGCAGCTGAGAAACCCACACAGCCTAATAAACCACGAACTTGACTGAAACTCCCAGCACTTTCTCACACTGTGCTCGACTGACTTCAACCACAAGATGGCAGGCGTCGGCGGGAGATCACCCACTGCAGGCCCAGGAGCCTCCAGGGAGCTGAGCTGAGAGCCCGCTCCCACCACCCAGGCCAGCGGCTGTCACTGATACACTCTTATGGAGGAGAAAGGTCCTTGATGTCACTACCATCCACTTAGAGATAGGGATAGAAAAACATGCAGAGAACATGTAGAAAATTCTCATTTTCTATTTGTTTTTACCGTCAACAGTAAATTGTTAAAAAAAAAAACCAAAACCTATCCTAATTTCGTTGGTTACTTTTTGTAGCGTTGAAGAAAATATTTTTAACTTTGAGTCAGAGGCCCTGAATTCTAGTCCTCACTCTTCTCTTAATAAGATAACTTGACCCTGGGAGACCACCTGCTGGGGCCTCAGCTTCCTCCTCAGGAACCACGAGGACACAGGAGTCTGGGATGGGCTCGGGGTACCACCCGAAAACCAAGTCGTGCCGTGGAACAGCGTGTGGGGGCGGCAGGCCAGGAGGATGAAGTGGGCACAGGTGTGAGGTCCGAGACGCTCCACTTACACGGCCTCCTCGGGGAGCGGGCTGTTCCACGTGACGGGTTTCTCGGATAATTGGATCCTAAATGCTGAAACATGTTTTCCTTTCAACCTTCTGTAGCGGGAATCTTTCTAGAGTGTTACGACATGCTTCTCAGGCTTCTTAGACGGCAGGCGGAACCTAACCTCACCTGCCCGAGTGTCTCCAGGTCGTCACGATGCCCACTTCGCACCGCAGACACAGTGCTGAAGAGTGCGCCGTGCCCTCGGGCACAGACAACTGGGCAGGGCCCTCTGCCAAGTGGCCCTAGAGACCGTGGTCTGACGCTATCACTGGCACTTCTTTCCTTCTTCCATCTCCTACATCACTACCTGCCATCATTTCTCCAAGTAACTCCGTCTAGCAGCCTCTTGACACTCTGTTTAAAATATGCCACAATCTAGACAGAACTCAAGGTTGCCATGGGTAACCAGAGTCTGAGCCTGTAACAACCCTAAATTTAATTTTACACACAATTTAAAGGCAGTGGGTACTGTGCTAAAGGCTACTCCTGGCCTGGCCTGTCTTCAGCTAGCTCGCCCGATGGCTAATGCTTCTGTAGCAGCTGGCCAATCGCCCTGAGCCCCCCGCCCTCCGGCCAGCCCAGCACCCTGTTCTTGCACTCGCTGGTATCCTTCCCAGTTGGCTAGTACTCACGCCACACTGGTTGCACAATATTGGAATATTGCACTGGTTTCTGGGTTGAAGACGAGTTTCTTTTCTGCTGAGCGAATTGCCAGAGTTAGAGGCTCTTCGCTGACCCTTATACGCAAAGGCATGTCCTCAGTCGCATGCCGAGCCCTGGGTTCAGGTCCCCCGAAGCCAACCAGCCGGGGTGTTAATAGCGAGCTACTTTTGGTTGAATATCGAGCATGTGCCAGATGCACATTCAGTACGTTATATAAATCATCTTAGCTCACCCGCAAAGGGACTCCACTGGGGAAACAGCACGACCTCCCGTGGCTGCGGACCACGCCCGTCACATGTCTTGTAAGTGGGTCTGGGAACCAGACCCCCCCTCAGGGGCCTGCTCTTTGTACCATGTTCTGCTCAAGTTTATTAACATATAAGAAGGTCCAGACAAGGGTCACGTCCTGGAAAACACATTTGAAGTGAAACACGGCCCTTTTCCTTTTCAGAAAAGGCTACTTGTTTTTCATGTGTGGGTTGTGTTTTAATTAATTCCACACTGTGTCGCCGATTTGGAACAATCTGTCCCCAGGGAACAGATCTGGTTTACTTATAGAAATCGAGCTGAGGGAGGGAGAGACTGCGGTTATAAAGTATTTGGAGGAACTAATCAAAAAAAGCTTTCCCGGTTCTCCCTGCACCAAACAGAAGTAAATAGAACATTCCAGAAAGTCTCATCTTCCCAAAGTAGGTGTGATAGAGCTCACAAACAAAAACTCAGCTAAACCTGCAAGATGGAGCATGTGACATCAGACATAACTAAGATCCCTCCCATCCCGAAAAGTTCTCTAGACGTTCACTCCAGGATGATGCTGTTACCACTCGGGAGAATGAGGGGCTCTCAGAGCCCGTGGGGGAGCCTAGGAGCAGCTGTGGATCTTGGGGCTCTCGGCCAGCCATCAGCCAGGAGCGGGGTCTGTGGCAGAGTGACAGTCATGGATTTAGCTCTGGAACTGGTCCCGCACTGCGGACAGATGCCATACCCACGGCTGTGAACCCTGTTGTCTCCCCAGGGAGGGACTTTTCAAAGTGACTCTAAACGAATTTTTAAAGTAAGCAAAGCATGACTTCAACGTCCACACTCTGCACCTGCTCCTCCCCTGGTGGACGCGCACGTGACTCTCCGTGTCCTTTCCCAGACACAGCCGCAGAGCTCTCACGTTTCCAGAGTGGCTCTTGTCGGGGAGCAGCCCCAGGTGACAGGGTTCTGGAGGTGCCCAACATCCAGGGACTGGTACAGCCACGCTCCCTCTGCGGTGACCGGGAAAGATCAACTCCAGGCCCTGATCCCAGCTGCCGGTAGCTCCTTGGCTTGCAGCAAAGTAACACACACAGCCTTCCCCTTGTGTGTGTGCGTCTCTGCTGTTTTTAGAACAAGAGTCATGTTGGATTAGGGGCCCGTCCTGCTCCCCTGTGGCCTCATCTTAAGTAATAACATATGCAATGGCCTTCATTCCAAATAAGGCCAAATCAGAGGCTCTGGGGGATAGGCCTTCTGCATATAAATTTTGGGGCAACACAGTTCAACCCATAACATCATCTGAGGTAGTTTAGAATTCAAAATCAACCTCAAGAAAAGGAACAGAATGAACTTCCCAAAAGACTGCCTCATAGTATAATTGCAAGTAACAGCGTGGGTGAAACCTCCGCTTACCAGGGTGGGCCGAGGAGGCGGAGGCTGTGCAGCAGGGAGGCACACTGGCTCTCTACAGAGCCCTAAGTGCTCCTCACCACTTCTTAGGACAAGACTCACCTGGGCGTGTGCCCAAGGTTAGCGTCGCAGGAAACTCCCCACTCACCTGGCCCCACTGACGTCCACCCCGACCATCAGCTGCCCGTTCAGGGAGAGGACCTCGTCACGCAGCCGGACCTTCCCGCTCTTCCCGGCCGGACTGTTCTTCCTCAGCTCCGTCACCCAGATGCAGCCCACGTCCAGCACGGGGCCCTGGTGGGTTTTCCTCTTCTTGCCCCCCCTGCGCTTTTCTCCATAGTCCCCAAAAACAGGGATGTTCCCAAAACTGAGGCCCACAGTATCTGTGTCCCCCAACTCCTTGGAGAGGTACACAGTGCAGATCTCCATCCCCGGGGGGCTGCGGTCAGGGGGCCCCGCACTCTCCTCCACGGCGAAGTTCAGCTGGATGTACTCCTGCAGCTTCTGGATGGCCGCCTGGCACAGCCGCTGCTCGGGCCCGTCCCCGCCCTCCCGCAGGCTGTTCTCCAGCCACCGGCAGAGCAGGGGCAGGTGCAGCCCGGCATTGTCCTGGGTGATGGGCATGGTGCTCAGTCCTGAGCTCCAGCATCATGAGAGGACCTGCGCCTGGGGGCCGGGCCCCCCGGGGCCCCACGTCCCTCGGGAGCCCTGGCTGTCATCGGCTTGGCCTGCGCTCATGTCTGGGCTCTCAGAGGAGGGAAGCCGGCTGTAGATGGGGCTGTTCACCTTGGCAGGAGGAGGACAGGACACAGACCCACAGAGAGACGATCGTTGTGCCTGGAGTGCTCAGTGAGGGGAGCGGGGGGCAAGTGTCCGACCAGTGACCGCTCGGCTCACATCACAGCAGGGCCCACGCAAACGTCCCAGAAATGTCGCGTCCCTTCATCGGCCATAGCACGAGCTGACGGATTCATTCACACCTGGAAGAGGAAAAGACAAAAAATCCCTCTGGTCATGACAGTGAGCCTCTGACACAGAGCACATGGTCTCTGGTGCCACAGAAAGGCAACGTTTGCTCCCCGAGCCAGAGGCCGGATGCTTCCACCCATTCCCCAGCTTGGCTCCCTCCACCCAGAAAACACAGACCCACAGAGACACAGACAGACAGATGGACACACACAACTACAACTTCCCTCACACAGAAACCTCTGGGACACTGATCGTCTCCAGGAAGGTTCCCTGATCACCAGGGAAATGAGATGACTTTGGCCAGGTCAACCCCATCAAGCTCCCAGGAGCCAGAAGACTACATGGCAAGACTCCTTAGACAATCACAGAGGGGTGAGGACTTATTCAAGGCCTTACGTTCCTGGGAAGTTGAAATCTATCTCCCTTTGCCTTGATGAGTCCGACTGCGCACATGGGAAGGCTTCCATCCTGGAACTGTGCTCCCAGAGTGCTGCTAAGAGGAGAAGGAGCCAGTCGGCCGCACGGAGACTCAGGCTCAGGCCCAGGACGCTGCCCGTCACCAGCTCAGCCGTGGACTCGTCTTCCTCAGGTAGACCCTCGGGGAACCCTGTCCCTTGGCAACCTACAGGTCTCAGGCTCCTCTCTTCTTTTCCTCTGGGAAACTGTGAAAGCCAGGCTACTCCTAGGCCCATCCAAAAGCCTTCTCCTCCTGAGAAACATTTCTCCAAGCTTCTGGGTGAGAAGGTTGGCTGCTTGCTCACCGGCTGCAGGGCCGGCTGCAGCAGGAGGCTGGCGCAGTCTCGCCCCTACCGATTTCTGCACAGCGCTGGTCCCTCCCAGTGAAAGGTTAATTGAATTTCACTACCAGTTCGTCTTCTCCACCAAAGAAAATTTTCACTTCCATCCCCCGTGAGTGCAGAAAAATGACCCCTTTCACTCTTTCCTCTGAACTTCACTTTCGCCCAAAGTCAATATAAACTGGGCCGTCAAAGATGCAAAACATTCTTCACCTTCTCAGGAAGTGAGTTAACAAGAAATCATAATAAATGGGAGAGGTGTCAGCAGCCCTGTCAATAATAAATAGCCTTGTTACTCAGTGACCATAAAGAAATGTCTAGTGTCGTAAGTTTTGATTTTCCAACAAACTTGAGTGCCAGCTATTAATGGGTTCCAAATACATTAGAAGCTCAGCAAATATCATCTACGTAATCATATGCCTATTAAAAAGAAATGCAAAATCAAAGAAAAGATAATCCATATGTGTGCAAAAATAGAACGTTCCCTTTAGCCAAAATAAGTAACACCTCGCACTGAAAAGTAATGCCACGCAGGCATATTAACATCTTACGAATAAATGAAAATATTTTCCATCAGGCCTAGCAATCTTTCTGAGTCTCCTTTTCCTTCTCTGTAAAAGGAGAAAGTTAGGCTAAGTGATCTCTAAGGTCCCTCAAACTCTGTGGAGAGATCCTTAAATACAGTGACCAAGTTATATTCAACAATATACTCCCTACCCCACCACCGTGCCGGTCACCTTGTATACTCTCAATCACTTCAAACAATTTTTTAAAAGAGGCTTTCCATTCAAAATTTAAGGGTCTGTGATTCAAGGTACTAGTCTTGGTTCCAATGGCTCCATGCATGTGGAAACAGAGTGCATGTCTTGGACGAGATACTCTAAATAAGTCTGACTGAAGAAAACCAAACTTTGGAGCAATTTGTTTTCCTGATGTCAACTTGTATTCGTGCAATACATATTTACTGAATCTCAATTAAGAACCAGACCTTGGCACTGGGACTATACTGTCAATAAAGCTAATTCCTGGCCCTGAAGGAATTCATAGTCTAGTGAGAGATGCATAAATAAATGGAAACCTATCTGTAATAAGTCTACAACAACCCTCTTAATGGAATCAACCAAGGTGCCCTCCTGGCAGCCAGACCCATGCCGTTTGAGCTCCCCGCCCCTGGCGAGGGGCCCAGAGCTGGGCATCTCGTGAGAGCTGGGACAGAGTTCTGCCCTGAGAACTGACTGCTGGGGCCCAGAGAGAAAGGGTCTGCTCTCAAGTGTGTGGTGAGGGCCGTAACTTGGGATCCAGGGATTGTAAATGGCAATAGTCTACGGGGCGTGTTGACTGAGTGGCAAAAAAGAGCCATCCTGCCAAGAACTAAAATCAATCAGTAGAAGAAAGAGGCACAAGACTGGGGAAGAGTGGGCTCTGGCCCCCCACAGCAGCCCCGGCCTTGCATCAGCCATCTGGGGTGGGGGGCCCTGCTGACCTCCCCCTTGCTCTGAAAGGCTGCAGCCACCCTCACAGTCAACTACATTGTAAAAACTTACCTACTTAAAAAAAAGATAAAAAAAAAACTAAGCTAAAAAATACCTTTAAATAAAAATGAAGTTTACCTTGGGTTGTTTTCTATACTTTGCAGCTCAAAAGTTGTTAGATGATATACTGGAGGTGAGCAGAGCCGACTGGCTCAGTTGGAGCGTCGTCCATCTGGGAACCAGATGGTCAAGGCCGAGGGAGTAGAGTCATGAGATGCCAACATGGCTGCCAGGGCCCCACCCTGTGACCCTGCACGTGGGGAGGGCAGGGAAGGCGTTTTTGGGAAATGAAAAATTGCTTCAAGTGCATAGACACCCTCCAAGACCATCTTACTTTGATGTTCATGGGCTACACAACTTTTGAATTCCATACTTATAATTATGAACTTTCCAGTGATGCTTCCAGCCCTCTGTTCTATCAACTCCTTTTCCTGGGAGTTTCTGTAAATCAGGGAAGTAGAGGTTGAAAGGGTCAGGCCAGTGTCCTGGCTTCCCCAGACTGCTCATGACCCTGTCAGGCCAGTTTCCCAGCCCACCAGACTACTCGTGACTCAGTTATCCCAACTCACTTGATAGCCCTTGGCTCCATCAGAACCCTCTCCCACCTCACTCAATAGACATCTGGTACCAGACATAATGGCCCATGGTCAGACTGACCCTCCTGTACCTGGGAACAGCCCAGCCTTTACCTAACTCATCATCCGGACTCACATCCTGGAACCCCGGGGCTCTGGCCCAGAAGAACAAGAGACTAATCCCTCTCCTGTCCCCCCCAAAACCCTGTGCCTTTTCTTTTAAAAATCCCATTCTTGCCTCCCCCTGCAGTTGGGGCTACAGTTGGTCCAGACTCGGCCCACCTGTAAGCACAGCACTGAATAAAGGCACTTGGATCAGATCATCCAGCTCCTCCTACCTCTACATCTCTACCTAACAGAGGAAGTCCCATCCATCTCAATAATTTGAGATGACTCAGGACAGAAGATGCACAATTTTGCAATACTGTGAAAGCATGGTTCTTCCACGACATCCGTTGCAACATTCCAGTGAACAAAATGTTGACCCAGACAAGATACAGAAGAACAGAAATCTGCAAATGGTTACAAACACCGACATTCCTGCTTGGCTGATCCCACAAAGGTCTAAAAGTTTCTCACCCTGAAGATCAATCCATATCAGCTGAGAGCAGAATTTGTGGACGTGAAGGTCCACTGCACAGTCCAGTTCATGTCTGTCTATCGTATATAATTCTTCAATTAGAATCTCATTTCAAGCAAACAGCCATGATCATTTAATTTAATTTTGAGTAGCCTGAAGCTGACAGCCTTAGCATTCAGAATGAATGTGTCTGTCACTGAGATAATTTACTGATGCTGTGTTTACCGTCTACCAACTTTCTTGGGCCCCCTTTCAGGGAGCTCGTCATTCACAACAGGCTGACATCCCTCACAAGGGGGTGAAAACTAGTGTTACAGAATGAACCTGTGGGGGCTGAGAGAGCCCAGATACTGTTGCTGAAGCAAGCCCCCTTCCCTGGGGACTTTCTGCCACTGTGGGTTCATTGCCTGCCACCAGGTGTTAGGAAGTATGGCTCTCAATGCCAGGGTTTGGTATAAAGAAAAGGAACTATTTATTCAAAAGTTATATGGGTTTAGAGTAATGGAGGAATGTCACCATCAAAATCCCAAAGTCCCTTTAAAACACCCACAAACACACACGGTTCTGTCTTCCTGACTTTGCCCAGTCAGGCCAGGCGGGGTGTCGCATCTCAGGAAAAGAAAGAGAAGTCCACAGATCAGCTGGACTCCCAGTTCCTCTTAGTCATCTGTGCTTGGCTGGGCAGGTCTCCTGCAGTCCTCAGCACCATCAACTGTGTCATGCAGTCTCCAGTTCTTAACCCTAAACCACATGGCACCTCCTCATGGCCCACCAGCCAGGGTCCTTTCACCCCTTTTCTTTCTACATGGTCTCACATTGTCCTCCATCACTGTCTCCCACTGTCTCTCATTGTCCCTCATCCCACATGGTGGCCAACCTTTAGTTTAAATCCCAGCCTGAATCTTCCTCTGTAACCCCAGTTCTGACTCCTCCCACAATCAGCTACACCTGCTGGCACTCTTGTATTCTTTGCCTTTCTTGGCTGCCATAGTTAGTCTGGGCAGGTGTGGCCCTGTGGTGCAGAGCAAACCATCTCTAAGCTCTCTGGCAGGCGCAGTCAGGGGAGCTGCCTGTGGGAGGCACCAAGGTCAAAGTCAAGCCCTTCTCCTTTGCTAGCCTGCTGTGACATGCAAAATAACTCTCAATGGCTCTGCTCCACGTCTCCCATCCCCCTGCCAGTCTTGTGTGTGTGGGATATTCTTTATTCCCAGATACCCCAAGTTCTGGACCCGGTTATAGATTTCCACTTTGGGGAGCCCTCAGGTCTTCCAGCCTATATCCTGTTACTCTAGTTTGAGGGTGGGGGGGCCATAAAAGTCTTAGATAGTATAATGGTTGGTGCCCTCCCACCCCCTGCCACAAAGCTAAGTCATATCAGAAAAAAACGAATCTTACTCTTCAGCATTTAACTTCTGTTAGAGAAAATTAAATTAAATTACATTTTTAAATTAATAACATTCAAACAAATTAACTTTTTCCCTGCAGGACAAGGAGAAGGGAACAAGAATGGAGAAGACTAGGGACCGCTGAGCTAGGTGGAACCAGTCGTCTGCACAGGGGCACAGGCCACAGTCACCGGAGACCCAGAAGCCAGTCCTGAGCCCGACGGGGTTCCTCCAGACCTTGCCTCAAAGTCGGGCTCCCAGCAGGCCTTCTTGTGCAAGCCGCTTCTTGCAAACTGTCCTGCATTCTTGCCACCCTCCTATTCTGACCTCTGCTGATGTTCCAAGTTCCTAAACCTTCCTCTCGTCTTCCTACCTTCTGGACTGGATCCTGCTTTTGACTTTTAGAAAACGCTCACATGTTAAAAGAAAAAACAGTGCTGAACAAATATCTACTAGTCATTCATTCAACAGATGTTCGGTGAGTGCCTATCACGTGTTGGGGCCTGAACAAAGCAGACAGGAAGTAATGGTGAATCAGTCAACTTAAAATACTACAACGTCAGAGGCTAATTAGTCCCATGCAGAGAACTGTGGTCTGTCGGAGGCCAGCGAGGGGTGCGGGGATGGAGGGGCTAGGAGAGGCCCCTCTGAAAAGGGACTTGGATAAAGTGAGAGACTGAGGAGAGAGTGTAACTGTGGGGAGGCAGTTTCTGGACAGGAGACAGCAAGTGCAGACTCCCCGCCGAGAGCCCGTGTGGCTGCCAGCGGAGGAGAGACGATGGGTGTGGAAATGCCCCTGCCGACCGGGTGCTTCCCTGCTGTCTTATTCTCTCCCCAAACCCTCACAACCACCTTAGAAAACAAGGGCATCTGGGCCCACTTCACGAACATTGGCAGGGCTGTGGGCTGTCGATTAGCAGCTGTTATTGAGTTCCTACTTTGATTTTGGGGCACAAAAACAAAACAAAACTAAAAACAGCCCTGGTTGGTGTGGCTCAGCAGATTGAGCACTGGCCCATGAACCAAAGGGTCACTGGTTCAATTCCCAGGCAGGGCACACGCCTGGGTTGCAGGCCAGGTCCCCAGTAGGGGGCACTCAAGAGGCAACCACACACTCATGTTTCTCTCCCTTTCTCTCTCCTTTCCCCTCTCTCTAAAAATAAGTAAATAAAATCTTAAAAAAAAAAAAAGAAAACAGAGCATGTTTCTGCCCCTAAAGAGCTAAACGCACACAGGAATTCATACAACGGTTTACTCACATCTGTGTGCAGCCCCAGGTGTTACGGACAAACCCACGATGGACCGAGCAACTGCAAATATGAATGACCGAGAGGGAGTCCTTCAGGTCGGCTTATGTTTTGGAAGAGCAAGGTACTGACCCATCTGAGGAGTACTCTTAAATAATTTGGGGAGTATTTAAGAATACAAATAAAAGTTTCTTGTACGAAACGAAGGACTTCCCATCTCATAGCTCACTAAGGCTAAAGAAAGACTAGGTCATTTTTAAAAACCTAGTTTCCTACAAACCAAAAATTCCACTTTCACTGCCTCCCACCCCCAGCTATTACAATGGACGGACCGCATGTTATCAAAACCAACACCGTAAACAACACCAAGTCCTTTAAAGACAACCATCCCAAATGTTGTTTCTTAGCAGAGGTGACCTTCAGTGCATGGAACGGTGTGATCCTTGTCAGGGACTGAAGATCCTGGCCTGTCCACTGTTTTCAAGTTCAACAAATGCAATGTCAGTCCTCCCAGGGACCAGACATACTTCCATGAAACCGGGGAACGGATTAAACAGCATGGATCACATCATCTCATTTGTCTCCTTTGGCACATTATATTATTATTACTATTATTATTAAGGAATAGAAGGAAGTCTGGAGGGCAGTCAGGGGCCTGGGAGTTGGCGCTGCGTTTTCTCGGGTGTCAGCGGACCTCGGCACACCCCCAGCAGGCTTTTCTGGGAGCGGTCATTGCTGTCTGCTCCCCAGCCTTGGCCTTTCCCTGTCCTTTCATCTTCTCTTTGTCGGCAAAGGTGCCGCATGTTTTAGATGTTATATCACAATCTGTTTTTGCAAACTGGATTCACACTGGTTTACCGTCAAATGGAAACCTTTGTAACTGCGGGCGAGCCCAGTTTTTTAAATGTAACAAAGGCTTGCCCCTCCATCTTCCTGATCGTTAAAGCCACAGTACCTAGCACCGAGCCAAACTGAGGAAATGGCATATAGGGACCCCTTCAACTGGGCTTCTTTAGTCTTGTCACTCATGTTGTTGGTGTTGCCTAGTTTGGTGTGACAGCCATCTTTTGGGTTACACTGTTCAAATAGCCCGGGTCTGGTGTGGCATCCTAGTAGAACTGAGAGCCAAAAATGGAGTAGCTACGGCTCATTTTTACCTCTCTCCTTGGCTGACTCCAGACTAGCTGGATGGCTACTCAGGTGAGTCAGAAGAATTCAATGCAGGCGTTATTTCCTGCAGCGACGGTCGACTGTGCCAGGCACCACACTGGGCTGAGGGGGCTGTGGAGAAAGACGGCATGAAATAAAGTATGTGAAGGGCGACAAAGCGGTACATTTGGGGGCACGTGTTGGATTCTGCACAGCAGGGTTTTCCAAGGCCTATGTGGGGGCTTTCGGGGATGAGAGAGGGGCTCCTATGTAAATTCTAGAAGGCAAGGACCTGGCAGGAACCCCAGGGTTTGCCACATCCGGCCCTCAATGTAACAGATGAGAGAAATGCACATGGAGGCAGGACCATGACCCTTCACTCCCTGGGTCTGATGACCCTTGAAGACACAGGAGAGAATAAAAAAACTGAACAAAATGAAAAGGAATGACCTCGCAGCTACTGTGAAAATCTAGTACCTGAAGATATTGTATATCCGAAAACATGGACTGTTTATCAAAACAACAAAAAAAATGGGAATGAGTAGAAATTTCATGAAACATTCTGAATGTTTTTTTCCTTAAGATAGTGCAAGAAAAATAGATGGAGGACAGAACCCCAAAATGGATATCAGGAATTATTCCTGTTTCCCGCCGAACTTCGAAACATACTCGCTGTGGCTTCAAACACCGAAACAAGTGTGCACGTCTGCAGTTTAAGATCCTTTAGGCAGGATTTGGCCAGTTCTGGACGAATGCTGCTTCCGGAGTTTAGGGGACTCCGTTCTAAGAGGGCGTAATGACTGGGGAGAGAGGGCATTTGACTTGTGAGCTGGCGATTCCATACTTTGAAACAGTTGCGCTCTACCCCGTGGGAAATTGGCTGAGACAATCACAGCTTCTGGGTCAGCAGCAGGACAGTCGTGAGGTCACTGTGGTTGTCCATTTCACTGTGACCCTCCTGTGACTTTGTATGGATGGGCCAGCCAGGACGCCACCAACCTGCTACCCACAACCTCATGGGTCCCACTGTCAACACACAACATGCATCACAATAACTTCTCTTTCAATTACAATGAAGTTATTTTTAAAAAATAGTTATTTCACAGTTATTCCTTTCAGATCAATTGTTCTGTCTAGATGCGTCTGGTGTTTAGGTGTTTGGATAAATAATCTACTTACTATATTTGAATTCTTGGCATGTAACTGCAGAGGCCCTGACCTCATCATTAATTAACAATGACTCACATATTCATAACAGCTAACTCTGCTGTTAGTTAACTGCAGGTCCTCAGGCAAGTCATTTAGCATCTTTTTTTTTTAATTCTTACCCGAGAATATGTTCATTGATTTTAGAGACACAGGAAGGGAGAGAAACATCAATGCGAGAAACATTGATCGATTGCCTCCCATATGTGCCCCAACCAGGGATTGAACCCAAAACCTAGGTAGGTGTCCTGACTGGTAATCAAACCTGCAACTATTTGGTGCACAGGATGATGCTCCAACCAACGGAGCCACTGGCGAGGGCTCAGTTAGCATCTTTGAGCCTCAGTTTCCTTATCTACCAAGGGAGGTGCTTTTACTGAGTTCCCTTCCAGTTCCAGCATTTTCCTGGACTTTGGAGCTGAGTTAGCACGTTAGGGCTGGAGTCGCTAGGCTCATTAAGCAACACATACACAGCACATGGAAGTTTCAAACTGCAGAAGAGATGGGCCAAACTGCTTTATCAGATTTTGAGTATCTGCCAAGGCAAAGGAGGAAGGGGGCCCCTGGGGCAGTTGTACACTCACTGCGCTTCTAACCAGAGTTCAGCTCTTCCAGAAGACAAGAAGAAATATATCCTGCTGAATAACAGCTCTTTGGAGCAGCAGACAGAACCAAGGTTTCAAGAAGGGAGAACGAGCTTGCTTGGGAGGTGGGGTTCACTGGGAAATCCGGTGTTTCCACTGAGGTCCCACAGATGCTCCAATTTGGCAAGGGCCTGAGCTGTGTGGGGACCAGCCTGCACTCCCTCCCCCACCCAGGCCGCTCACAGGACCCAGGGCTGGAGGGCCTGGTGCAGAGAGTATCCTCAGAGGAAACCGGGAGATCACAGAGCACAAAGGTTCACCCCTGCGCCGCTCGGAGAAGCATCCCTTTTTCCCAGGCCTCACTGTGGGAAAGGCCTCAGACAAGTCAAAGTCCATGGGAGAGAGAGAGAGAAAAGAATCCTCGTTTGACCTCTTCCAGGCAGGAAATCAGAGTGAAGGAGAAGGAAAGATGGCGAAGGAGTGTGAGACCCCGGCCCCCCACACCCTCAACGGCCCCCACTGCCACTCGTACTCCATCTTGGTTTCAAAAGGGGTGCGAGAGAAATAGAGAGAAAAATTAGACGAGATGGCACGAACGGAAAGGATCTAAGCTGGAAATCATCCATTTGAGGTTCAAGTGCACTGCTGTGGTGACCTTGGGGAGAGGTCTGGAGGTGGGAGGAGGCTGGACCCGTTATCAGCTGAGACCCTGCTGCTGCTGTGTCAGGGTCAATGTGGGGGGGGGGCTGCAAACAGGCGAGAGATGAGGCTGAGGGAGGCCACCGGTAGGCCAAGGAGATGCCACTCGGGGACCTGATCTTGGTCGACTTCCCACCATCCATGTCTTCAGACTCCCGGGCTCAGAAACACAAGTTCTGTCTGCACATTGAAAGAGCATCTGCCTCTCAAGTGTAGATACACCGTTACCAGCAGGAAAGCGCATTCGTTCATTTTCAGTGGGAAATAACACAGTTATTAAGTGGGCGGGGAGTGTGCACGGACCTGACCCATGCCTGCTTCTCCTGCCCGCAGGAGGCGGAGGACAGCAGACTTCAGAACCTCGAGGGCCCCAGCTAAGGCACTCTCTCCGCTGCCCCAGCCGGGGCTTTGCGAGGGAAACGGCCCACTTACCCAAGACTGCCCTCCGCCCGACAGCACCCGAAAAGGCATCGCCAACGTCTGGCTCCTGCCGCTTTTCCTGCCTGTCCTCTGCACCACCTCCCACCCGCCTCTCTCCAACGGGCATGCCATAAGCCAGTCGGTGTTCACTCCTATTCACTGAATTACGGGCACAATCACACTTTAGTCCCTCATCCCCAAAGGTGACTTTAACTCAAGTTTTAGATTCTATTCGTTTCTATGGACAATTTCTTAACTTGCGTGTTCCTGGGGCTGGCTATTCACCCGCGTGTGATGGATTTCCTAGTCCTGTTCTCAACACGGAAACTCATCTTCCGTGTTTCTAAATTCGGGTTGTGGGGAGAGGTCTCACTGTTGCCCCAAGAACCAAGGACACCTTCCGGTTTTAACAAAACTCCAGGGGACCACACAGCGGGCATTCCACAGCCTGGCTCGGATCTTCCCAGAGAGTGGGAACAAGCCAGGATGGGGGGGGACACAGAACCAGAGTCACAAAGGAAAGGCCAGGGAGTCCCCATTTTCGTTATCCTTCTCGGCCCAGAACACTGCTGGAGAGCCCCACGCTACTGCAATTCCAGATGGCTGCAGCACTTTCCGGGGCCCTGCGGCCCTGGGGCAGCACCCCTCACTGCGACACAGATGGGGGAACAGATGGAGAGGGGCCGGTGATCCGGTCGAACAGAACGCTAGGTGACCACCGCATCCCTTGGCAAAAACTTGCATCAGACGGGAAGCCCGTTCTTACCCACTAGGCAAAGCCTCTCACCAGGAAAGTAGGAAATTGGAATTTAAAATAAAAACCAAACCTTCAGTGTTCTCTCTGTACTGGAGATAATGCAGGCACCCGGGTGTGTCTTATACGAATGGGGGCTGGGGGGGCAGGGAAATGTAGCCCGTTGGGTCCATGATGGGTTTAAAGTTTTAGGACAGACGTGGCTAAGCCTACAGAGATAGGTGCTGAAACCTCCAAAAACAGGTGCCCCCAGGGCACCCTGCTGCTCTGGGGAATTACCAAGATGAGCAAAAATGGCTATTCCCTGTCACCCGCCAAGTTCCGCTGAAGCATTTCTACAGGCTTTAAGCACGCTGGTTGGATGACTCCAGGTTCCACATCGCCGCCCCCCTGCCATGAAGGGGAGCACTAGACTGTGCCGAGATGACACTAAAGCAATCGTGGGAAAGGATCTGAAGATCTGCTCTCGAAGTGAAATCGCCAGTCTCTTCACCTGAGAAGGGGATGAAAAACGTGGCCTCCCTCCCATGCGACGCTCCTGCCGCTCCGTGGCGGGTCCCAGTTGCTGGCCCGGGTCTCTCCCTCTAGTCTTGTCAATTCCCCTGCCCTCCAAGTCTCTCGTACACCTTCTGCCCAGGTCCTTTCCCACGAGTCCCATGACCAGAAAAGAAATGGAAAGGGAGCCGTCTCTGCTTCTGGGCGCCTGGGGTTCCACAGGACAAACACGGGTTAAGCCCATACGAATTCCTCAGGGAGGAATAACTCCTTCATTCACTCATTCATTCAACAAATATTTACTGAGTGCAATAAACAAAGTGCTGTCTTTCCCCCAGGAACTTCAAATCTGAACCGGTCTTCCCAAGAGGAGCTGAGCCTCGCAATCCTGGAGGCCATTTGGGTCATCAGCATTTTCAACAAACCTTTTGGGGACCTTTGATGTCACGGGGCCTCAGGAACTACCGGTTGGGTAGATCTGGCTGCTCCATGACTCAGAACGGACATCGGGAGATCAGCTCCAACACCCCACTGTTTCAGGAGACCCCTCATTCCCCACCCACATAGGGTTGTGAGATTTAACAAATAAGAATACACAGTGCCCAGTTAAATATGAATTTCAGATAAACGAGCTATGTTTTTGTGCAAGTATGTCCCAAATATTGTACTGTGTCTTAGTCTGTATACGTCCCATGTAGTATCTGAGATATACTTACACTAAAATTTTATTGTTTATCTGATATTTAAGTTACCACGTGTCCAATATTTAATGTGGCAACCCCATACCCCTCCCACCTGAAGCTGAAGCACTTAGAGCCTTTGACCTGCACGCTTTATCGGCCCTGTGCAGACTAATCCTACGCAGCATCTCTGTCCCAGCCCCAGGGGGCCTTCCAGTTCCTCCTGGATGCAAATGCCACCCATGGGCCAGGGGCACCCACACTGTGCAGGCAGGGAGTGAGTGAGTCGGGTCT